TGCACAGTACAATTTCTAAGAGAAAACATTTGATTCACGTGTTCAAAGGGCCTCAAACCATCTGGTGGGGGAAGGTATTATGGACTTTATGGCAGGGAACTCTGTGGCATAGGTTCATCATAGCATAACGGGCTAGAACAAAGAGTGGACAGAAGTAAAAAGTGGGCTACAGCCTTCAAGGGCCTAAATCTAGGAACCTCCATTTATGGAACAAGTCTCATTTCTCAGAAGTTTCACAGCAATACTAATCAGGAAACTTGTACTCAAAATATGAGCCGATGGGGGCATTTCAGATTCAAAGCCTAGCATAAATAATACCCTACCTTTGTTGACATTAAAGTTGTTTCATTCGTTTAAAATGCAAGTTTCATACAGCATAGACCTTTATTTTACACACCAACGTCTATATATTTGAAACAGTGTCTAGTACATAATGGTATTCATGCTATTTCATTGCTAAATCAATGAAATCTTTAAAGACAGATATCCTGAAGATATCCAGTTTCAAATGTGTTTTTTTTCGCTCCTTTTATATTTGGCAATCTGGCTTCATATTGGCCCAAAATTTGGCATTATATGTAGCCACTTGATTTTTTTGCTCCATTTAAACAGAATATGTTTAGCTATTCATAGTTAATGTAAGTGCAATAAAAAGGTGTTTATATAGATGACACCATGTTTTATAATTGTGTAAATCATAAGACCTGAGGTGCATTGGGGAAAGTTAAGTTGTTGGATAGTTTATGGGTTAGTCCCTTCTGTGGTGACAGTTTCAAAGGAGGTTGCTAAGTCCATAATGGGGCATAATTTTGCCTGTCTTGAAAGGCAAGACAGAAGCAATCAGCTGGTGGCAGTCAACAAGTAAAAGGGGATAAACTTTGAAAAACATACAAGAATATCAGTAAAATTGTCTATAATATATCATTTTTCCTCCTTTGAGCGACTATGTGGTGCCTTTACAATAATTTCCATAGACTTAAGTGATGAGCATGGCTTCAAATTGTTCTTCCCTGTTTGGGATTTTTTTTTTCCAAATAGCCTCATTGATAATTTTCTGTCTTTGAACTAGGACACACCTAGAGCGATGCCAGCCTAAGAGCTGATGCCAAAAAAGGGACCTCACGGTGCGCGGATGGCAAGAATAGCCCCGAGAAATAGACAGGTGGTCAGCACTGAGGGGAAATACCAATTTTAAGACCTAGGGAAGGAGCTTGAGATCAGAACTATGGAGCAAGACAAGACGTAAAGTCAATATGACAAAAAAAAAAAAGTTCTTGAAAATTAAGGACAAGATGTATAATACAAGACAATGATATTTATATAAATAGTCCAAGCGTATTTGTCCCATAAAAAGCCACATGAGATAATTATTTCCCCCTGGTCCCCTCTGTGCTTCTGTCACAAGGGTATGAGGCACACGGATAAGTGAATGGCCTTGTGCAGCTGTTAGCCAAGAACGACGTCTTCATACCGACTTCGCAGTGTGAAGCAGGAAGGGTGAGCAGGAAAATCAGAGGCTTTCAAAACGCAGAGAAATGAGAAAGCAGCTATAAATATGATTCCCTGTAGGCTTTTTTGAGACATGCAAGTTGTGAAGTCCCATTTGGGATGTTAGATAATAAAGACTCGGCGTTATCCTTCTGTACTGTGCTGACTGGAATGTTTAAAAGCATATTTACTGTTCCTGTGGAACTCACGGTCTAACGAAGAAGACGAGATGTCCCCAGGAAGAATGAGGACCTGCTAATCATTTCATTTCCTCCCACCTTTTCCACACATCATTTCAAAGTACTTTCCCTGAAGTTATTTTCGATCTTACTAATAGAGGAAATCTCGAGACTCAACAAGGAGTATGTATAGGTACCACTGCATATATCGTTCCTTCTAGAGACTTGGGCCCTCCCAACCTGCTAGTACTCTGGTACTGATGCTCCTTGGCATCTGGTGGGAGACCCAGAGGAACAGTCAGTAAACTGGGTACAACTGTGTGGCTTTGTCTTGAACGTCATGGATGTCTTTATCCACTTCCCCTAGGAGACGTAGGAATGGGACTGACTTTCCCGAGCCCCTCAAGGGCCTCATGTACGATGTATTTGTCAGAGCTCAATGATTGCCAAAAGAGGGAAATAAGGAACTATGTTCCCAAGAAAGAGTAACAGGGTGAAGAGAGTGTAAGACATCACGTACAAGTATAAAAATGTTAGCATTAAGCTATGCATAATTAATACATATTACCAAAAACACATAATAAAAAAAATCTCAGTAAATTTTATAATATAAAAAGACTGCTGTTACATCATAAGCTTCTAGTATGGCTATTGTGTTTACTGACTAAATATAGTTTGGCTCTGAAAGGTGCCAAGCACTGTTATGTTAAAATAACCGAGAGACAAAAGGTGACCTCTTGGGGGTCACAAGTCAGTATCAGACCTCTGCATTCTCTCTCCTATGGAGAGAGCACTTGTTACTGTTCACTCCTTTTTAGTGAGTTTTTTACACAGCCTCATCCATCAAAAATACACCCTCTGTGGCCAGCGCCATGGAGAAAACTTCCTTTTTCCATTCCTCCCTAGACGATCTTACACCCACGTACACATGGGCAGCATTAAGTAGGCTCAGTGGTTTACAAAGCGGGGAGGGAAGAGACGGAGAACATGAGCATAGGAAATTGAATCGAGCAGTATCAGAAGAGTTAGGGTCGCAACTATAAATTTGATCAAAATGCAATGTAGGCATATAATAAATTCTCAATAAAAAAAAGTAAAACCTTCTCTTTCTCCTTGAATCAGAATCTTAGGAAATGAAATGTTTTTGATAAGCTGTCTGAGTGCTTTAGATATACTCACAACATATAAAAGTTTAAGGCAATCACTACACCATCAATAGCAGAACACCCAAGGGAGTGGCCTATGTTTGTGGCCTCTTTGATTATCATATTGACCAAAGTATTCACCCTTGGCTAATATCAAAGTGGCCCCTCTTTGACATGCAGCCAACTTACCTAAAATAAACAAAGCAAATATTTTAAATAACAATACTCATTTTTAGAAAACGGCAAACTATAGAACAGGTGCTATGCTTTGGGGTAGAGGAACAATCAGTGCTAGTTATTAGACATAGTTTATAGAACTAAAACCATTTCTAAAAGAAAACGGAGATGATGAAGAGACAAGAACTTTTACTCGCTAAAGTAGTTCTTTGTGGGTTTCAGACTGTTAATGCAGGCAATATTCAATATTAAAAAGCAACATCAGCACGCAGCTAATATTTATTCAACTTACGTGACATACAGTGAACTACGCACTTTAAGATATTAAGATAGCATAGGGGTGAGGTTATATAGCCCAGGGCCCTACGTTCAATCCCCAGTATCATATTCAAAAGCAAAAGTATAACTTAATACTCAAAATACGCCTATGAAGTAATTTTACCCTCACATCAATTTTACAGGCAAGAAAACTGAAGCACGGAGATGGTGAGTGAGCTGCTCGGGTAACACAGCTGACAAATTTAGCAAGGATTGTTGTTCTGAATCAGGAGACTAGCCCTTGCTTCCCTCTTAGAGACTAAGGAAACTCACAGGTCCCACTCTAGAGAGCAAGAGTGCCCTCTGTACAGCCTCACTACCGTCCTCCCTTCACCTTATTTATTCTCACTGGATTCAGTGCAAACAGAAATGCCAGTGGAAGGGAACTAGTGGCTGAGAAGCAGCTAAAACAGACTTGGTTCTTCAAGGCTTGCAGTATTCCAGAGCCTTGAGCTGGTGGCAGCTTTGAGACCCAAAGGTCCTTCACCTTTGAAATGTAGATTGCAGTGGGACCTGCACACTGCTATTGTTGACAGATAAAACAGGGGTCTGGAGAGATGACCCAGTGGTTAAGAGCACTGACTGCTCTTCCAGAGGACCCAGGTTCAATTCCCAGCACCCACGTGGCAGCTCACAACTGTCTGTAACTCCAATTCCCAGGGTATCTAGCACTCTCACAGAGACATACACGTAGGCAAAACACCAACAAAAAAGAAAAGGAAAAAATTTTTTTAAAAAAAGAAAGCTACCAGCACTCGGGAGGCAGAGGCAGGTGGATCTCTGTGAGTTCGAGACCAGCCTGGTCTACAGAGCTAGTTCCAGGACAAGCTCCAAAGCCACAGAGAAACCCTGTCTCGAAAAAACAAAAACAGAAACAAAAAAAAAAGAAAGCTAAAACAGGATGATCCATTCATTTAAAGAACTTGGAAGGCACGAGATAAATATTATTAGTGCAATAAATAGAAGCAACATCAATAAACTAGGAACCAAATGATCTTTGGATTCTAATACTAGCACTAAAAAAGGTTTATTTTTCTCGTGATTTAAAAAGGAAAAAAAAGCCCACAGCGACCAAAACAAGCCCAGTCATAAGCCATTAAACCAATTATATCTTTTGTGGGAAAATCAGAAACGCCATTAGACCTATTAATTTGCGTGTCATTAGTCATCCTCTTTATTGTAAAGCCGACACAGTCCGGCGTCCCGAGACACCTTGCATAATATAATCCCTGGGACTCCAAGAGGTCAGACAGGCATGCTCTTGATGCAGCTTTGGGGAGAGCTCAATAATTCTTTTTATAAATTTCAGCTCAACGCCTACACTGAGGTTAAGAAAAATTGACATTCGATCAGTGAACTTAACGTCAAGCTCTAGAAAAAAAAAAAAACAACTCTGGGAAGCACATGTTTGGCGATTCAGCAGACGCAGACAGTACAGACGTTGCCAAATTGTAAGACAAGACTTGGAAATCACGGAAAACGCTGCTGGTTATTGATTACGTTGACCATTCACTTCCTATTGAGCCACCCAGAAAGAATCATTCATTTTCCAGCAGAGCCTGCTCATTTGCATGATAAAAGAGAGCCAGCTCTGCACATGCCCATAGTGTTGCTCACCACTGGGGGCAGCTTTACATAAGACTGCATTCACTGAAACTGAAGCAACAGTCCGAGCAGCTTTCAGAATGACAGTCTGCAGGAGTGAGCTGAGCGTGTGCGCGGAACCGGGCTCTCCTGCTTTCTGGGCTCCAACACAGCTCCGTGGCTGAACTGGGTGCTCACCGCCACGGGACCGACCGCCGGGCTATGGAATACAGATGTGGCAGTACAGGTAGCCCCACGTTGCCTAGAGGAATACATCATGGGTTTTGAGAAGAAATTGTAGAAGCCAGTTTTTTTTAACATACACACGCGCGCGCGCACGCACACACACACAGAGACACACACACTGTAAAGATGCAAAAACGTAATATCCATGAAGATCCTATTACCTAGGAAGACTCGGCTGTTTTGCTGCGAATGCGGTGTTGGGATTTATTTGTTCTTGGAGTGTTCTGCATGGCTGGTAAAGAATAATGTTCCAAAATCGGTCCATCTCCCAAGGGGTCCAATTTTTCTTCCCGGGTGTCAGCGAGCCCTGACTCACTACACTGCAGCTGACAGGGGCTGTCATGCAGGCGGCCCCTAAGCCAAAGCAAAAGACCTAAGGACGGCCTTTGAACAATACAAAGGATGGGTATGTTTTGTCATTTTCTTCTTTCCTTCTTAAAAAAAAATGGGAAAAAAATCTCATAAGTCTATAATAATTCTGTTTTAATTGTTTTAAAAGATGATCTTTCTCTGGTCTAAGACTATAAATTTGATAATCAGTGGACATATTTCCTTGTTTAACTGTTAAGAATATACAGTATCCTTAGATTGCAAAGATGATATTTGGTGTTAAGTGTTTACATTTCTGCATACGGAAATCGATGGCTAGTTTTGCTTGCTTTTTACTTAATGCGTTCCTTTTGGGGGGGATAACTTTTCTAAGTTATTTTTCTTTCCAGGTTTCAATGTAATCAGGCTACTGCGCGGATCGGCGGTAGCAGCGGTTCTGGCCCCCACTGTTTTACTGACGATGCTTTCCTCTGCTGAACGAGGATGCCCTAAGGGTTGTAGGTGCGAAGGCAAAATGATCTACTGTGAATCTCAGAAACTGCAGGAGATCCCTTCAAGCATATCAGCCGGTTGCTTGGGCTTATCCCTTCGCTACAACAGCCTCCAAAAACTTAAGTATAATCAATTCAAAGGGCTCAACCAGCTCACCTGGCTCTACCTTGACCATAACCATATCAGCAATATTGACGAGAATGCTTTCAATGGGATACGCAGGCTCAAAGAGTTGATTCTGAGTTCCAACAGAATCTCTTATTTTCTTAACAACACCTTCAGACCTGTGACCAATTTGCGGAACTTGGATCTGTCCTATAATCAGCTCCATTCTCTGGGATCTGAACAGTTCCGGGGCTTGAGGAAGCTGCTGAGTTTACACCTCCGCTCCAACTCCCTGAGAACCATCCCGGTGCGGATCTTCCAAGACTGTCGCAACCTGGAACTTCTGGATCTGGGGTATAACAGGATCCGAAGTTTAGCCAGGAATGTCTTTGCAGGCATGATCAGGCTCAAAGAACTTCACCTGGAGCACAATCAATTTTCCAAGCTCAACCTGGCGCTTTTCCCAAGGTTGGTAAGCCTTCAGAACTTGTACATGCAGTGGAATAAAATCAGTGTCATAGGGCAAACCATGTCCTGGACTTGGAGTTCCCTACAGAGGCTTGACCTATCGGGGAATGAGATCGAAGCCTTCAGTGGACCCAGTGTCTTCCAGTGTGTCCCCAACCTGCAGCGCCTCAACCTGGATTCCAACAAGCTCACATTTATTGGTCAAGAGATTCTGGATTCTTGGATCTCTCTCAATGACATCAGTCTTGCCGGGAATATATGGGAATGCAGCAGGAATATCTGTTCCCTGGTAAACTGGCTGAAAAGTTTTAAAGGGCTGAGAGAGAATACAATTATCTGCGCCAGTCCCAAAGAGCTGCAGGGGGTCAACGTGATCGACGCAGTGAAGAACTACAGCATCTGTGGCAAAAGCACCACAGAGAGGTTTGACCTAGCCAGGGCGCTCCCCAAGCCCACGTTTAAGCCCAAGCTCCCCAGGCCGAAGCACGAGAGCAAGCCTCCGCTGCCCCCCACGGTGGGAGCTACGGAACCCAGCCCAGAGACAGATGTGGACACGGAGCACATCTCCTTCCATAAGATCATCGCGGGCAGCGTTGCCCTTTTCCTGTCGGTGCTGGTCATCCTCTTGGTGATGTACGTGTCCTGGAAGCGGTACCCCGCCAGCATGAAGCAGCTGCAGCAGCGCTCCCTCATGCGAAGGCACCGGAAGAAGAAAAGGCAATCGCTCAAGCAAATGACTCCCGGCACCCAGGAATTTTATGTAGATTATAAACCCACCAACACGGAGACCAGCGAGATGCTGCTGAACGGAACGGGACCCTGCACATATAGCAAGTCAGGCTCCAGGGAATGTGAGGTATGAACCATTGCGATTTCCAAAAAAAAAAAAAAAAAAAAAAAAAAAAAAAAATCAGGGAGAGAGAGAGGGAGCGCTCTTAAAAGCTGGGGAAATAAGTGGTGCTTTATTGAACTCTGCTGACGATCAAGGGAACACGGTGCCCCTCCCCCTCCCCCCTCACTGTGCTGGCAAGGGCCTTCCCTGTCTCTGAGAGTGTGTTCATAATACTGGGGCATTTTCCTTCCATAAATAATCAACCCATTGAAATTTAAATACCATAATCAATATGAAGCTGAAACTCTGGTTTAACACCATGCCTATTGGATGAGCCCCTTTTATGGATTTCATTAACATCACATTGGTTTCCAGAAAAAAACAACAACAACAAAAAAAAACCTCTTTTCCTGTGTGATCCCCCACATCTGATCTTATTCTCCACCTGGGAGGGTCAAATTTTTAGCTTTGGGTGTTTTGCAGTTCATTGGCAAATCCAGGAGGGAGGGAGGGAGGGAGGGAGGGAGGGAGAGAGAGAGGGGGGGGGAATCCCAGGGCCTTGGAGGGGGGTCGAGTGAATCTGAGGAGAGGATTTATTGTGGCCTGCAATAGAGACTGGGAATGAGAAACAGTGCCTGCCTTTCAAAGAAAACCCCAGAAAACTATCCCAGAGGGTGGTGGATTAAAACAGGTCCCTGGGCAGTTTCCAGGGGTTTGGGAATTACAAGGCAAGCACCTGGACAAGTGTCAAAGGGTTAAAGCAGATGGCTGCAAAACACAAGGACAGTGAGTGCATGAAGTTTGAGACTGGCAGCTTTTTCTGATATCCCCATCCTTGTAAAATCAAACTAAGGGACTCACTATCAATTTCCTCCACCCCATGTGTTCCCTAAACATGTTGATTGGTTACACAACCAGACCATTAGCTAGGCACATGGGAGGAAGCAGTCTGACCACTGGAAAGGAGGGAGGAGTTCAGAGATAAGGCTTGCTGAAGGAAATCACCCTCTCACACATGTGGCTGGGATCTTCCCAGGATGTCTCCCTGCAGCTTATTTTCTGAGACCCCCGCCCCTGTGTAGTTAATAGCTCCTGAGCGCTGGGCTGTCCGGTTCAGGGCTGTGAGGCTGTCCTGTAGTGTCCTGTGATGTGTGCTACACACACCAGGCCCCTGATGACTGGCACTTCGTTCAGATGTCTGTACATCCTTCCGCAGCATCCCTGGAAAGGATGCTTCTGCTACCACCCTGATACAGGCATCCCATCAACCCTGGAGGGAAAAAAGACTGACGCCGTGACAGTTTGCCTTTGCTTTGCTGTTTTTGACATCGCTGTGTCCCTGTGTTCGTCTATATTGTAACTCATCCGTCAGTACAATTCTGTACAGCACCTGCCTGGCAGCCTGCAAGCTGCATGCATGTTTTTATGTCATTGGTGAAAGTCTACTAACTGCAGCACGGATACCACACCCTCTGTATTTATGAGGTTTGGGAAAATATATTTATTCTGTCACCCCCCTTTTGCCCCCCCCCAGATGAACAGTTTTAGTCTAGGACTAGACCATAATGACTTTTACATTAAGAATGGTTCACCATATGACTGGCCAGGCCTTATGTCTTTGACCATATCCCTATTATTTCAAAAGAGTTGCTGCAAAATAATAGTTAATAATAATAATTGCAAAGACAAAGTGAATGGCTATTTCTTACTAGCATTTTTATAGGGTACGGAGGCCTTCCATAGGCTGAGATGGAAAATCTAGACAAGTCAACATGAAATATAATAGCAAGGAATCTGGATTATTAAAACCATACTTCCATTAGCAATGAGGAAAGGCAACATTTTAAGCAAATTTCTCTAGGTACTTTGATGAGACCAGGTTTCAGCTCAGAGGAGCATTGCAAGCACAGTTTACTCATGACTAACCACTGAGTATACACTTATTAATGACAAATGCTACAGAGTCCCAGTGGATTGATAATGCAGATAGATCTCACAGTCTCATGAGCTGGGTGACCGGACTTACTGAGACGGTTGTGGTTGAAATTGTAATTTCACATTTTTTCTAGACTGTCAGTCAATTCATAGTCCATCTATTTTTTTTCCTTTGGTCAGCTTCATTTTTATCTGTACTATGAAGATGACTGTATTAATTAAATGCACTGTTGAAGTGGGAAAAAAAAAAGCCCATTTCTATTCTTTGACTTGACCCTCTGCCTTATTTATCATGGAAGACAAACACATCTAGTCACGGCAAACTGACAGCTATATATATTTTTAATTTTTTTTTCAAATCATAAATGCTGTGATGCCACCAAGATATATGAAACACATTTGCTGTATCGAAAGTATTTCTAAGATTCAAAGCCACTTGGTGTGTAAAGCTGATGGTGAGATTAAATGAATGAGCAACATTTTGAATACTGTGCATTTTAATGCCTCCCTTAGAGATTTACTGGCTGATAAGAAACCGAACGAAATGCCTTAGAAATGACATATCACATTTTGATTCAGGGCATGAAGTTACAAGGGAAAAAGTTTTAAACACATGTCTCTCCTTTGTAAAGGGCTCTTCTTTCCAGCTGTCACAATGCCCCGAGAACCTGTCTGTGGTGCCCCTGGTTAGAGAACTGTTCCTATACCATTGCCACTTGAGAAAGCCATCTGGTAAGCTGGTCAGAAGTTACTGTCCCGTGTCTGCCCCGTGGCACTTCCACACCTTATACCATGAATTTATTTCTAGAAGTTCTTTAAAATGTACTTCATACTGCAGAAGAATCCTTGCCATTTTTTTTTCTATTGCAAATTTACATGAGCTGCCCAGTCTCCCTCTAAGAGAGAAACCGACACGCGTGGCCTGACCTGTTGAGCTGCGCCATGGAGGCGCATGGATGCAGAAATGGGTCTCAGACCTTTATAGCTTCCCGAAAACAGAAGGCAAATGGAGTTTAGTCTTTGGAAGTGAATGTTGGTGTTTTGTGATTTGTGCTTATTTTTTCATGTATTTATCAAGCTCCCCGCACAAGGTGCGGAAGCAGCACAGAGGCTCTGAGTCAGAGACTTTTACAATGTTATGCAAGATATATTCGTTTTAAATGACTTTGTACCTTCCAAGGATGTTGACATGACATCTTCCCAATGATTTTTCAACCTTTTTTTTTTTTTTTTTAAACTTGGTTTGGTGAGTCAACTACCTAACTATATGGTGGCAATGCTGATGTCTATAAAGTAGCACTGACCTATAGAGGCTAATACTAGTAACCACAATGGTTCAAACATTTTTTAGGGATTTTTTGTTGTTTTTTATTTTTTTTTATTTTTTTTTTTTTTTTTTTTTTTTTTTTTTTTTTTTGTCTTTTTTATTTTGTGAACTTATTGGCAGCACGGGTTCCTCTGCTCTGTGCATCTTACTTAATGTTAGCTTTCCTGTGAAGTATAATTATCTTGCCTATTATCAAAGTTATGTATGCTTGCTTATTTTCTCAGTGATAACGGAAAGAAAACCCATAAAACTGGCATTGAGAGCTGGAAATCAGTGCCAAAGACACAAGACAAACAGAAATGCAATAAAAAACATAGATAATAAATGCTTTAAGCTTCTGTATTCATCAATATTAGCCAACATAGTCTTTGAGAGCTTCTTTGAGTCTTATTATTGTTCATGGTCAGGATGAGGAAACAGGGTAACTTAGGCTGGGGAGACAGATGTCCATATTGATATCCAGAGACTCAGGATCGATTCCTGCTGGTCAGTAGATATGGCAGGCTATATCCAGAGAGGGAGGCCTCCTCTCGGGCATGAGAACTGCTCTCCAGTTTGTTGATCATGTCAGTGACCTGTGCTTCGTCCCCGGGGCTTTCTCCCTCCTCCTCCCTCCCTCCTTTGCAGCTAGCTAAACAGTGGTGCTATTAGGCTCTCTGACAAGGATGGTACAGTCTCAGAGGCGATGATTCATGGATAATGAAATTATGCTCTCCTTCTGGGGAAGACGAATGCAGCGTCACATTCACAGCTTTGGCAGGGGATGTTGGGATGCTGTAGGTGCTCGGAGCGTCTCTTCCTTTGACATTTACCAAAACGAGAACACAAATTGCTTACTTAAAATGTGGATTAGGCAAGCATCGGCTAGGAGTCCTAGCCCAATGCGCTGAAGGCAGAATGAGCTCCATGCACAACAAATGAGAACTGAGCCATGAGAAATAAAAAAAAATTAAAAATAAATAAATAAAAAAATTCTAACGCCAAGAGCTCCTTCTTTTTTTCTTTTTTTTCTCAGGGTTCTAATAAGGATCCAGAGCTGTAGCTAACCCTGGGCACCTTCCTGTCCTTGTATTCTCTTTGCTACAGATGTTAAAAAACAATGGGCATTTAGGACAAACCCTGGCTGGAAGAATACTATCAGCAAATGTGAAAACCAAACATCATAAAAGAAACAGAATACCTGTGTATTAAATAACATGTGGTAAATGGCTCATAAACATTAACCAAACGCCATCACCCTGTACAGATAAGTGTAAGTCACCGTCTCCTTAGCCATAGGAGTCAAACAAACTGGACCTGAATTTTAGTTAGCCTCCAAAATCATTGGTGGTTTTGGATAATTGGATAGACTGTGATAAGAATTCTACAAAAGGAAACTATAAGTTAATCGTATTTCACATGGGGAAAAGATATCACAGCTGTGCATGACAGAAGAGAAAGTCTAGAAATTAAGACCTACTTCCATTTTCTCTGACATTTGCTAAGTCAACTCAGGTACATTTCTCAACTTTTCAAAATTGGAAGACGCCCACACACAGACTGGCTTGCACTAATGACTGCTCACGGTTTTGGGAAAAGTGAATGTCAAAAGTTCTTTTCCTCAATGATCCCTGTTTGTTTGTTTCTTTCGTTGTTTTTGAAACATCACTTAGTGAGATGTTCCAGCTGTTTACTGCCGTTCTATGTTTTGTGCGGGTCAAAAAGTAAAAGAACTTTGTACCAAGGAATCTAGAACTTATACCTTTGACTCCCACAAAGATGA